GAGATGGCTTGATATCTTGACAGATATCAAGAGATATATATGGGAGATCTGTGCCCTCTGGCACATTAACTGGAAGTGGGATGCATCTCAAATGCACTAGATGCCCGTAATTAGCCATCTGACTTGTGCCCTTACTGCTCACCTGAGTTGTTTCACATGCTTTTGGCCATTGCTGATAGTGCTGAGAAGTGGCTTGATTGGGTGATCCACGCTTCATTGCTGATGCCTTTTAAGATGCCATATAATATCTTACTCTACGTCCAGCTTCCAAAAAAGGCATGGGTCCTGTGTCCTACATGCTGTGTTTAGGGAACCTTAAGACATTATGTGTGAATATATAAATTGACTGTACTGGGATACCTAGCACACCTGTAGACATTAGTGTGGAGATACCTGAGTTCAGGTGTCTTAAAGTCCAGTTGAATCCTGCCATCGAGGACGCTTCAGGACATTTTGACCTTAGTGAGTAGTATGGCTGGATTTCCGTTTAGCCTTTAATTATTACCTTTGGTCAGAGTTTAAAACAATTCTTTGGTCAAGATTCCATATCACAATAAAGTGAAAGTACAGCTAATGGTAATACTATTAGATATTTTTTACTTATTTTGTGCTTAGTTAACACTGACCCGTAGATCTTCCTACTAGTTTTACAACAATGCGTATTTCTTTCTCATCTGTTCTACAACTTATTATCCAGAATATGAAGGCTGAAAAAAATATTCCTAAATTTGTAAAGTCTAAAAATGGAAGCAATAAAAAATAAAGAAATCTCGTGATTCATTTTGCCATGACAATGCTTAATCTCAGAAAGTCTGAAGTGATATGATCCCATTTTGGTTTTGTCTTTGTCATAGGTTTTCTAGTACAGGTCTGTTTTCTTCTGCTGGTTCCATCCCACTGATTTCAGGTTTGCATGATTAGAACCTGTTAAAATCTTATTACATTACTATTTAGTGTAATTGGAAATTTAACCAGTTCAGCAGAAGCTGTGACGTATAATTGTAATATGACTACTTTTTAATAAGCTCATAAAAGCTGACAAACATTTTAAAATGTTTATTTTAAAAATAAGGCAGCATATCTGTCTTTTTTCTAAATTTCACATAAGGGAATTTTTCAATAGCTTTAATTATTATCAGTTAAATGGGCAGAAAATTATATTCTCTAAATATGCTCACATTTGACTGATTCCTTTGTGAAAATGAAACATTTTTATAATGTCAAGAATGGTGTAGCATTCAAGATACCATAATTTCCTTTCTACTATTGGAAAATTATTATGGTAACACTTTGCAGATGTTATTTTTCTAAAGAGCTTTATAAATTTTCAATGGTCCTGAAGGATGAGTGGCTAACTGTGGCTAAATAAATAACCATTAAACTACTGTCATTTTTATCAGTGTCTTTTGGGAAGAGAGGTATGGAAAACATAGTGATGGGCCAGCTGTACTTGAATTAAAGATTTCCTTGATCTTTTAGGCAATGCCTTTGGACACAGAAGGTGATTTTGATGACAATAATAATTGAGAATAGTTGCATTACTTTCAACTTTTTACTTGGGTTCTTGAAGATCTATGCATAACTGGCTTTTATTGACAATGAGGTATTTAAAGAGACTTGTCTGATAGGGTGATGGGGCTGGCTTGTCAATGTATTTGTTTTCCCCATTGATAGCCCAAAGCATTATAAAGGACAAATGACTTTCACATGCTGGTCTTGTAAGGATGATCATGCCTCTGCTTTTTCAATGTGTGTGGAAAAACACCACTCCTTCTGCCTTCTAGAATTCTGTCTTCAGTCTTCCCTGTAAAGCACCATACACACCATAATACTATTACCATAAATAATAGTAAAGGAAAGTGTGGGAGGTTTTGGCTCCAGTGTCATCAGTATGCTGTTGATCTCAGTTCTCTGTATCCTTTTCATCCAGCCCAGATGGTAGAGTATAATTGCTTTTCCAGGCTTTGACCAAGATAGGGATATGGATGAAAGTGAGTTGGCTGCAAATCAACTTGGTTAATGGAGAAATGCTGCTTGTTAGCCAAGGGAAGCATTTAGGGAAATAGAAAGTAGGGAAAGGTAATGTATACACCATGTCCTGAAAATACATTTTTAATTTTTGCTAAAGTAGTCATTTTAGTAAGTAAGTAAGAAGCTGTGTTGTCCTCTTACTAACAACAGAGGCCTGTAGTACCATTTATTATTAATTATTCCATTGTAACGCAAGTCTAACTGTGGTTGTCTGTGCCTCTGCTACCACCTGACTCTAGTAATGCATTCCCTTCATCATTATTTTGCAAGTTATCCAAAATTATCTGTGACTACACCACATCTGTTTGCTTTTAGGTTGCATGAGCGGTTAGCTGTAATTGACACTTAAATTCAAACCTCTGCAATTCCACGTGCTCTACATTTGTTGAAAATAGCAACAAATGTTTTTTAGAAGATGGCAAGTCAAGTTGTCAGTGATAATTCAGAGGGGTCAGGCTCATCCAAGAGACTGTTATTTGAGAAATTTGGTCCATTTTTTTGTTCTGTCAGGTTGTGAATGATTTTATGTAGAATACAGACATAAATATTACAGAAGGAATTTCTTTGTTTTATAAGATTGTGAGCAGTCTTTGGGCTTGATTTCATCTTGAGTATTTGTCCTGTAATGCTGCTACTTTTTTTCAGAGCATCCAGTGTCACGGCAGAGAACTGGATGTGGTTTGCAGTTGCTCTTAGAATTAACTGCTCCTTCTGTTAGACATTCAGTCCCCAGTTCCTGAGGTTTCCTTTTTGCAGGGCTGTCAGAACAGCAGTTTCGATAGCCTGCATCTGCCTGTGCAATTTTCTGATCCACTGGAGCTCACATTTGGCAAATTTTAAGCCGTGACCACCAGAGATGTCTGTGTGACTCTCCATTGACATGTCATAAGTTGTTGTTCTTGGCAGTATGGTTAGAATGTATCACGGACTGTCAAGATTTTGTTCACAATTTAAATTTTGTCACAATTTAAAATGAGTAACTTCATGCAATTCAAGTGTTCACATTTCTTACCTTTGCTTACTAAAGGGAAAGGCTTCTAGAGTTCTGTAACTTATCTTCACATCATAATAATTTTTATGCATATTTTCCACTATACTTTCATTGGCTTTCTTCAAACTGGAGACAGCCTGGGCTGCGGTGATGATGCACTGGGGGAGTTTGCAGTCCTGAGAGATACGGGTCAGGCAAAGACTCAAGTCAGGACCCTGAATATTAGGAAAGCAAACTTCCAGCTGTTCAAGGACTTATTCAATAGCACCCCCTGGGAAACTGCCCTCAGGGACAAGGGAGCAGAACAGAGCTGGCAGATCTTTAAGGAGGTTTTCCGTGGAACAGAGCTGGCAGATCTTTAAGGAGGCTTTCCGTAGAATGCAAGAGCTCTCCATCCCTGGGTGTAAGAAATCAGGAAAGGAAGGCAAGAGACGGGCATGGCTGAGTTGAGACCTGCTGGTCAAACTAAAGGGCAAGAAGGAAGTGCACAGGCAGCAGAAGCAGGGACAGGTATCCTGGGAAGAGTATAGGGATGCTGCCTGGTTGTGTAAGGATGGGGTCAGGAAGGCCAAGGAATAGCTGGAGCTGAACTTGGCAAGGGCTGAAAAAAATAATAAGAATGGCTTCTACAGGTACGTCAGCCAGAAAAGGTCAAAGAAAGTGTACACCCCATGCCTGCTGGTCAAACTAAAGGGCAAGAAGGAAGTGCACAGGCAGCAGAAGCAGGGACAGGTATCCTGGGAAGAGTATAGGGATGCTGCCTGGTTGTGTAAGGATGGGGTCAGGAAGGCCAAGGAATAGCTGGAGGTGAACTTGGCAAGGGCTGAAAAAAATAATAAGAATGGCTTCTACAGGTACGTCAGCCAGAAAAGGTCAAAGAAAGTGTACACCCCATGATGAGCAAGACTGGCAAAATGGTAGCAACAGATGAGGAGAAGGTTGAGGCACTCAACAACGTTGTGTAAGGATGGGGTCAGGAAGGCCAAGGAATAGCTGGAGCTGAACTTGGCAAGGGCTGAAAAAAATAATAAGAATGGCTTCTACAGGTACGTCAGCCAGAAAAGGTCAAAGAAAGTGTACACCCCATGATGAGCAAGACTGGCAAAATGGTAGCAACGGATGAGGAGAAGGTTGAGGCACACAACTTTTTTGCCTCAGTCTTCACTGGAACCTCTCTCTTCTCACACCTCTCGAGTGGATGTACTGCAAGGCAGGTACTAGGGGAACAAAGTAGCTCCACTGTAAGAGGAGATCAGGTTCGTGACCACCTGAGGAACCTGAACACATAGGACCTGACGAGGTGCATCTCAGTCACTTAATCATGGAATGGTTTGAGTTGGAAGGGACCTTAAAGATCAGCTAGTTCAAACCCCCAAGTCCTGAGGGAATTGGCTGATGTAGTTTCAAATATCACTCTATGATATTTGAAAAGCCATGGCGGTCAAGTGAAGTCCCCGGTGACTGGAAAAAGGAAAACGTTGCACCCATTTTTAAAAAGAGTAAAAGGGAGGACCCTGGGAACAACTTACCCGTCAGCCTCACCTCTGTGTCTGGGAAGATCATGAAGTAGATCCTCCTAGAAGCTATGCTGAGGCACATGGAGGACAAGGAGGTGATTTGAGGCAGCCAGCATGGCTTCACCAAGGACAAGTCCTGCCTTACCAGCTGAAGTCAAGGTAGATGACATCTGCTACTCTCCCTTCATCTAGCCAACCAGTTACAACATCATAGAAGGCTATCAGATTGGTCAAGCATGATTTATCCTTGGTAAATCCGTGTTGACCAATACTGATAACTTCTTGATCTTCAATGTGTTTAGAGATGACGTCCAGCATGAGCCGCTCCATTACTTTCCCTGGGTAGACTAATTGGCCTGTAGTTCCCTAGATCCTCCTTCTTGCCCTTTTTGGGGACTGGTGTGATATTTGCCTTCCTCCAGTCCTCTGGCACTTCTTCTGTTCTCCAAGATATCTCAAAAATGGTAAGAGAGTGGCTTAGCAGTAACATCCGCCAGTTTTCTCAGCACTCGTGGGTGCATCCCAACAGGGCCCATGGACTTGTGGGTGTCTAGTTTGGCCAGGTGGTCTCTAACCCAGTCCTTCCCAACAGAGGGGGATTCTTCCTCTCTCCAGACCCTCTCCCTTGTCTCCAGGGTCTGGGATTCATGAGGGCCAGCTTTGGCAGTGAAGACCGAAGCAAAGAAGGCATTCAGCAACTCCGCTTTCTCTGTGTCTTCCACCACCAAGGCACCCACCTCATTCATTAGCGGGCCCACATTTTCCCTAGCCTTCCTTTTTTTATTGATATATTGAAAAAAAGCTCTTCTTACTATCTTTAACTGTTGTTGCCAAGTTAAGTTCTCCTTGGACTTTTGCCCTTCTAATTTTTCTACGGCAGACCTATGCTACACCTTGATATTGTTCATAAGTAGCCAGCCCCCTTTTCCAGAGACTGTAGACCTTCCTTTTCTCCCTGAGGTCCAGCCAAAGCTCTCTATTTAGCCAGGCTGGCCGCCTTCTCTGTCGATTCATTTTATGGACCTGGGGATGGCTTTATCCTGTGCTTTTGAGAGTTCCTCCTTGAAGTATGACCAGCCTTCCTGGGCACCTTTGCCCTTCAGGACTGCCTCCCAAGGGACTCTCTTGACCATGCTCCTAAACAGTCCAAAGTCTGCCTTACGGAAGTCCAAGGTGGCCGTTCTGCTGGCTCTCTGACTTGTTCATCACTGCTTACTAGATAGAATTCTTTTTACAAAATATTAATTTCTAATTTCTAAATCAAAGTCATAGTTTTTTTCTTATCAATCATTAGTTAATATTATTTGCACTTTATGACCTTTGTGTTTACCGTTAAATTCCTCTCTGTAAGCAGAATTAGATCAAACAACTGGCCACTTGAGCTGAGTTGAATTCCCCTGTGTTTAAAATCTTATTTCTTCTGTTTTCATATGAATGATTTGTATTTTATTGTAAACAGCCCTGCAACAATTTAGTAAGTGTACTAGTAGATTATATTAGAATCTAATAATTAATGGAAATGACAGTAGGAATGTTACAGCTATTACTTTACAATAGAAATCTCTACAGTGACTTCTCAGTCAGTTCAGATAATCTCCCAATATATGTAAATCACTACTGTTTCATGAGCTCACACAAACCCTCTAATAAAAGCTGTAAGCACGTTCAAATTATATTAGAAGAAGTGGACTAAAGTAATAACTGTGGGTTTAATCCCCAGTATAAGAGAGACGTAGACATACTGGATCAGACCCAGCAAAGGGCCATGAAGATGATTAATGGATTGGAGCATCTGTCATATGAGGACAGGCTGAGAGAGCTGAGAGTGTTTAGCCTGGAGAAGAGGCTCAGGGAGATCTTCTATGTAGGAATATTTACTAGGGTGAATAAGGAAGACAGAGTCACTGACAGGACAAGAGGCAGTGGGCACAAACTGAAGTACAATAAATTCCATTTAGAGATCAGAAAAGTCTTTTTTTACTGTGAGGGTGGTCAGCACTGGAACAGGTTGCCCAGGAGTCTCCATCTGTGGAGATACTCAAGACCCAGCTGAATACAATTCTGGGCAACCTGCTTTAGTTGACCATGCTCTGAGCAGGAGTGGTTGAACTGGATGATCTCCAGAGGTTCCTTCTGACCTCAAGGATTATTTGGTTTATTCCAGATAAGTTAACTGTGCAACTAACTGTTATCATTCTGTAATGATTTACTTGCATTTTATGCTTTGCTCTCCTATGGATGATCTCCAGTTGATTGAATTCTTTTTTGAAGTAGGGCGTCCAAAAGGGCCTCCAAAACTAGACATAGTATTCCTAAAGTGTCAGGCTACAGTTTTATCTATGATATCCCTGTTTATAGCCTAGGATTAGATTTGCCATTTCATTTTTTTTCTTTTATTTTTTCTTGAGAGCATAACGTTAATGACTTAGCTTCAGTTTCTTAATGACTTACATTCAGTTTGTTATTCATTTTAATATCCCAGTCTTTTTCTACAGAACTGTTTTGTCGGGTACCCTCTATGCTCTACTTTACAAAGATCTTTCTTTGGGGGGTCAGAATTATTAAAATGGAGAAATAAGCACAATAGACAATAGAATTTGTAAGGGTCAAATATGCAAAATTTCTTTTACTTAGTCAACATCAGATACAATAAGGATAGTCTTTAAGTGTTGTGTTATATATTGCTTTTATTCAAATACATCATATTTATTTCTATAGTATGTCAATGGAATTTTGAATTCCAGTCCTGTGGTCTAAAGCACTTGCAACTGCTTTGTTTGTGGTATTTCTGTGTTATCATTCAGGTCATGAATATGCAGTGGTATCATAAGAAAAAATTACTTAATGAAAGCTTCTCAAGGGCTGATGAGTTTTTTTGCTAGTCATGGCCTGTTCCTGGCTACTGTTCTCCCAGGGGTCATGTCAGCAGCATATGGCAGAAGTTCTAGGGTGAATACTCAGTTTATCTTTACTGAGGGATATTTACCAGGCATGTCCTACTGTTTTCTGAATATCTGTGTATATTCTTTATATTTCACAGGTGAATCTTCTCCATTTTCCCTCTAGTTAACTTGGGAATTAATGTTTGAAATCTGCCTTTCAGCAGTGTGAACTATATAAACAAGTCTCTGCAATACCACCTGAATCATTATTTGATTATGTACTGAAACTTTAATTTCTTCCTGTTTATTTCCTCTATGTCTTGTAAAGTTTAGAGGCGTTTATGTGTTCAGAAGATAGACCACTGTTTTCTTTGTTCTCCTTCCAGCAATCATATTATTTATCTCAGAGCCTTCTCCCAGTTTTGGGCATTTGTCCATGTCACTGCACGTATTCATATGGAGTTATGATGCCACCTCCCTGCTGACCCTTGTTTAAAATTGCTTTCCTGAGTAATTCTTCCTTGCACAAGATGGATCTACCTTTGCTCAGTTGTCCTCTGTGCCAGAACACCACCTTGTGGAAAAGGAAAGCAGAGCTTCATTTTTGCTTGATTAGAAAGATTGAAAAGACCCGAACCTTCAGATTCTTCTCCTTTACTTTTGACTCCTTTCAGTTATTTCTGGGCAGCTCTGGGTAATATTTACCTGTGCTACTAGTGCCGATATGAATGATCTGCATGGAATAGCAGAATGAACCTCAGCACCTTTACTAGAAGTTCTGAAGCAGTGACAGAGCTTAAAGAAGTATTTTTATTTAATTTGATTACATTTATGGTTATCTTAAGAAGATTATACTGCTCTAATTAAGGTTTACTAGGATTTTCTATAATAAACTTGAATTTTCAGCTATTTATACCTCAGGGAAAATGTTTCCATAGAGAAATTTGGCATTCAGTCTCTCAAGCTGAATGGTATGGTTTTCCTTTTTTCAATTTTTTTTTTTAAAAGACTCTTTGGCTGCATTCTGTTTTGAGGGAGGCAATATTTTGTGGTTTTATATGCTTTTTGTTCTCCCTTGGCAAGGCTTGATACATGGAAAAAACAAATTTTCCAGGCTCTTAGTCTTTTATGTCAACTATTTCCTTTTTGTTATTTCAAACATTGTAGCTTGGTAGTCATTAGTTTTTAACAGAGCTACTATATATTTCAATAAGCAGTCACCTCTAAATATCTACCATAATTACTTTTTATACTTTGTTACATGAAAATACTTCATACTATTTAGTAAATATTTTTTCTGAAACAAAATTGTTTTACCTGACATGCTTAGCGCTTAATGCGTATTTCTTTTGAATTCTCTTATAAAAACTATTTTTCATTTTTCTATTTATTTCTATTTCTATTTTCTATTTATTATCTGCAGACTATTTAATGCCATATTTGAAGGTGCTGAAATTCTCTAAGTTTGTCTCGTGGTTGTTTCCGAAAATCCTTCCTTTTACTCAAGGGGATGGGGCACATTTGGAATCCTCCAGTTAGAGTTTGGGAAACTCGATCCCTCAATTCAGGAGGCCCAAGTCCTGGTTAAGGTCTGATGCCATCCAGATAGTAAACAGAGACATGTTTAAATTCTGCATAAGTTCTTAAAGACTTCAGTCTGTTACGTGGATTTGAAACTTGCCTGGTAAATGCAGATGGCATTGAGCCTGACACAGAACGTGACTGGTGGCTCAGGTGACTTTTTCAGCTGTGTTTAAAGTGATGTCCAAATATTCCTCAAGCGTGACGCTGGTCAGAAGACTTCCTAAGAAAACCAGGAATCTCTTTTTTCATCCCGACAACATTGTCAAGTACATATCTCCAAATTCTTGGAAGAATGGCGTGACTGCTAGGTTATTCATTCATAGGACAGGTGAGATTCAGCTGAAGAGGTACTCCTTTTCTCCTCTGATTTGGCTTGGACCACAGAATGGAAAAATGCTAGAGTCATCTTAGCAGAAGATAGTACATGTACTCATAGAGTCTCTGATTTGTTTCTGAGTTTTATCCGGTGATTATGCACTGTGAAATGCATAAATAGTACACAGGGGCCTGAATCTAAGTATTTTGCCTCCCTTTTACTTGTTTGTTATCTGAGCTTCAGCAATGCAGCACGAGTTGGGGAAATTAAGTTGGGGAAAAGGATGATTAGAACAGAATTTGTGAGATGAGTAAGAAGCTGTCTGAGGAGGAAATAAGAGATGATGTTGAATGCAGATTTGTTAGGCCATTTATTAAAGAGACATTGATGGTGGAGTTCCTCGGGTCTTTTTTTTAAGATGTATTTCTTCTATAGCACTAACCCAGATTTTTTGAGATAATATATGTTTGTGGTAAAGTAATGTAGTCGTGCTAGTCCAGGCGTTTTCACCAGGAAATATTAAGGTAGTAAGATCTGCTGATGACAGAAAGACAGGAGGAGACATCAGTACCACGATGGAGGAACTGAGTGACCTTGAAGACAGGAGCAATCAGTGCACTATAGATGAAACAAGATGAAATTCAGTGCAAAGCAAGACTCTTCTGGCATAAAAACCAAGTTGTGTACTCAAAGCTGTTAGTTTATCAGCTCAAAGAATGGAAGGATTTATCTGTAGTACTGCCTTGAATTTCCACTGTGTGGCCCTTGGGAGAGTCATCCTGTCGCAGGTTCTCAGTGTCATGTTCAAGAACAGTGAATTGGAGTTGAGACTGTCTAGTGGACAGCAAGGCTATAGAGAAAATCAGGGGATGAGAGACCTGGACTGGGGCTCAAAGAGATGATATCACGGATGGAGAATAGATGTCAGTACTTTCCATTCCAAACTTCTGTCCCCTCTGAAGTCCAAGGGCTGCAGATGTCCTCTGAACGGCCATGTGAATGGCTACTGCGTGTTCTGTAGCTGTGTGAACTGCTCTGTAAAGACAGGTAGAGCTCTTTGATTTCAGCACAAGTTTTACCGCAGTAGGAACTGAATAGGATTTACAGGATTTGGCCTAGAAATAGAACATTTTTGCCACCGAAGTTTTATGGACATTTTTCATGCTCTAAATTAAGCTTTGGTTCACATAATCTATTTTAGCTCTTTTTTTCCAGTCACAGCTTTACTCATTGTGCAGCTGTGGCATTTGTCTTGTAACAAGAAGGATCTGATAATCATGAAATAACCCAGATTTATGCCCGTAGTCCTGAAGTGGTGCCATATTTGTGAAAATAACTTAAAAAAGGAGAAACAATATGCAGCAGATGTGGAGGTTTTACCTTCACATTTAAGTAGGTTTATGCTGTCAGTGAGTGTGGGCTTAGCACAGCCTGACAGAGTTTTAACTTACCAGATGTTCCACGTGATCAAATAGATACTATACAGCTGTTTCCCATTCTTTTTACTGGACTCAGATAAATACACAGTAAATGCTCTGAAATATGTTTATTGTATTTTGGCTAGTATTGTGGCTTGTTGCTGCAGAGAATTTACTTTAATCCACGGGCACAGAGAACTTGGGGAGAAACCAAAGGTGCTGCAGGAGTGCTCATTTTCCGTTACCAGGAGGAGAAATTAGCGGCTGCTAATTAGTTAGCTGACGATACTAGACACGGGGAGGGATGAAAAATGGGTTTTTCATCTGGTTGCGGGTGATGTGAGATTAGTGGCCATATTTATGCCCTGCAGAAGTGAGTTTTGGTCTCTGGGTGAGCTGCTGAGCTGACATCCCCCCGGGCTGGCGGTGCTGGTGTTCCCCTGGTGTATCCCTCACGCTAATCCCAGCGTGGGCTTTCAACACCAGAAGGGAGACACCGGGTCGGGTTCTGTATCCAGTGCAATACAGAAAACAGGGGGTCTGCAGAGCTCCTGGCGAGGGCTGCCTGCCTCCCTCCCTCTGCTCCTCCAGGTGCGGGCAGCCTGCCCCAAGTTGGGCATTTAATGTGTTTTTGGAGACAGGCAGCTCTTGGGAGTCAGCCTGAGCAACTGCTCCGAACTGTTGCAGGATTTAAAGGCCCGGGTTATTTTAACTGCCACACCTGTCAACTTGATTCAACAACAGAGCAGCTAAATAATAAAAAAGGAAGTTTCATTTCCCTTCACCTGCTTTTCTGTTCTTGTTTCTCCTTCCTCCCCCTCCAACTCCCTGTGCTCTCCCTAGCCCTTTGACCTTACCACTGCCTTCCTTCCCTCTTGTCACTGTTAGCCTCCTGCCTTTCCAGAGCTGCTCTTACACCTGGAAATTTCTTCTTGTCTACCAGGGGCCTTCCTTGTTATCCTCTGAATCCTTCTTTAAAACCTTCACCTTCAGGCAGAGGAATTACTTTCATCTTTCATTAATAATCTCTTCAACATTTCTTGACTGCTCTGTTATTTTCAGATTTATAGCCTAGTCTTGCAAACGTTTACAGAGAAGTAACTGTTCAGTTAAATTGAGAACATTCTGTTAGAAGTTTGGAGGACTGGATTGTTCTTGGGAGGCTTTTTGAAATGGGAATATTTCTCACTCTGTAAAACACAATGTTCATTTATGGTTTTATGTACATTTTTATAATAAACATTTGTGGCCTCAGAGGAGCAGTGGAACATGCACACGGATAACTTCTGCTTTTAACTTTTATTCCCTAACTCAAGGTGTGGAACATGTTCTCACAGATTTTTAAAGGCCATAAGCAAACTTAATGTTGACAGTATGACTTTATACCCAGAATCATATGAGAGGACAAGTACAAGCTGTATCTTTGATCTTGGTGACCTTCATTGTTTTGTGTTTCAGTACTGATTTTTATTTCAGGAATCTCAAGCATCTGGACTGCCTGAGTACATAAAGATTGTAGAAGTTGGGCCAAGGGATGGATTACAAAATGAAAAGGTAATTTTTCTATTGTTTTTTTTTTTGTGTGTGTGTTTTGACATGGACAGTTGTGTCATTTTCATTGTGTAAAACACATACATCCTGCTAATTGTGTTTCTTCCATTTGGTGCTGTAAATATATTTATTTATTTTCATATTAATAACTGTTTTGTATATTAGAAGTATATTCCTATTTAGCCAGATATTAAATAATATAATTTCTTTCTATATTTGGTTAACTAACCTTTCTGTTACTCAAATGCCATTTCTTCTTCTGGAATTTGTCTTGTCAGTCGATAACATCATTGATAAATGCCATGAAACACTAGCTATCTTCATAATAAGTGTTTGTGCTACAAGTGCTACTATAGTAAGAATAGTACAATAGGTTTCATCATACTTCCTGCTGAGCAGGCATGGAAAAAAAAAAAAAGAAATTACTCTTTTGATAATATTAGTTGGCTGAAGGGTGGTAGGGAAGCATGGAAGAAGATTGGAAGAGACTATGTAAAACAGGGTATGCGTATCAAAACAGTCATCTCTGTCCACCAACATGAGGATAAGCTTGCATATATTGTTGTTACTGATATAAAAAATGTTAGTAGTAGTAACAGAATGGAATTACTCTGCCTCAGCTGTGGAGCTTTTTTTTGCCCCTTTTTTTCTAGTTGGACTATTCTGTCTTACTGTTTCCTTTGTCGCTTTTTTTCTAGGTTGGTGTTTGGTTACTAACAATGAGTGAGGCCAGATCTATAACCATTTACACAGAAATCATTCCTCATTCTTTTGTGGTGGACAAAAAAAGGAGTAGGATCACATGTACTGCCTAGCACTTTGCTTATGCAGTAGCTTCCTACTGTCAGGAAACAACACAGTTATGGTATAATGTATGATGATAGTTCATTATATAAAAGCAAAAGTATTGATTATGTACCCACAACATTTCACTTACAAAAGTTTCTTACCGCATGAAGTATTTACTGTAGTCTGTCTCCATGTCCATAGGTGATAGTCCCAACTGATATCAAAATTGAGTTAATCAACCGGCTTTCCAAAACGGGCCTGCCAGCAGTAGAAGTGACCAGTTTCGTTTCATCCAAATGGGTGCCTCAGGTAGGTAAAATCGTCACCATTCAGAACTATTTCAATTTAAATGCCATTCCGTGCAGTGGAGTTTTCCAGTAATATAGCCTGTATAATTATTCAAGGAAATGGAGCAGATATAATGTTGTTTATTTTTAAAATGGGATGCTGTTGTCACAGTTCTCAAGTTTTGCGCTTTCATTCAGATCAGCTGAAGTTGGGCTAATCACTGAAAAGTAGTCAAAACTGAAGAAAAGCCAGTAAGCTGGGCAGAAAGCTGGTTAAATCCCCTAACTCATCAGCAACAAGAGCAGGTTGCTCCAGAAAGGAAGTGGAGCTGGAAGCCAAGCATGAAAACAAGGGCAGCAGAGGTTGTAGCCTCGTTGACCAAAGGGCAGTCCAATGGTCCATGAGAGCAGAGCAAGTCTGGTGAGGGTAACCAGGGCAGGCAAGAGGACACATACTCAGGTGAGTCTGCAGTGACGTGGCAGGTCCCAGGTTAAGCCCAGAAGTCATGTCTGGGAGACATAGTCAGGATCCAGTCACTAAGGTACATGGCCAAACATGGGCTTGGGCACTGCTGTGCAGCTGCACTGTTTCTCAGGCAGGGAGGAACCACGAGAGTATCCCAGCTTAAAAGTTGTGTGAGGTTTTGATGAATCGTAGCTGCTGTGCAGCTGCACTGTTTCTCAGGCAGAGAGTCCCGGCTTAAAAGTTGCTGTGAAGTTTTGATGAATTGTAATATTTTGCTCGTTATTTTTCAAAAATTCAGTTTTACATTTGGTACATTTCAGCAGAAATCCAAGCCTTTCCGAAGTCAGCAGCAAAACTACATTGGCATTAGGAGCGCCAGGTTTTCATTTGAGATTTAACCCTGCAAATTCAGCCTCAGTCCTGATGTGTGCTAGGTAGCTCCTGTTTGTGCAAACTTACTTATTCCCTGCAAGTCACTACTTGTCTATATAATTTAAACTCATTTTCAAGAAATTATGGACTTGTTTGCACAGAAGGATTTGAGTCCTTATGTTTAGTAAGGACTAAAGTTATTTACAAAGTAAAACATAAAATTAATTATTTGAGAAAATACTTTACTTCTTCACAGAATCACAGAATTGTAGTGGTTGGAAGGGACCTCAGAGATCATCGAGTCCAACCACAAAAAAAAAAAAAAAAAAAAAACCCCACAACCCCCCCCCCAAAAAATGAAGAGCCATGTCTACACATTTCTTGAATACCTCCAGGGATGGTGACTCCACCACCTCCCTGGGCAGTCCATTCCAATGCCTGACATTCTTAACATTGTTTGTTGCACATCTTCTGTCCCAATGTGTATAAAGTTTGTCCACTTTAAACTGAGAATGCATCCTGGGCCTCGACTGTATTCCAGGCTTTCCTTTAAGAAAAAAGTGCTACATTTGTACTTTTTCTTATTCATGAGTTAGCAGAGCAAACTGGCTGTACAGCACTCTGAGGGCCTCCTTTGATTTATTTCAGCGTTCTTGGGATCACCAGGGAAGGGCCTAGAGGAAGGGTAATAGGAAAGGGGAAGAGAACAGCCACAATGCAGAATTTCTTTGGTGTCAGTGCATGGACAATGATGCTGTGCCAATTAAAAGTGGCTAGGCTAAGTTTTTCCAAGTGCCATCAAACTTTAGCAGTTGCGACAACAGAGAATACTGTAAGTTTTTAAACAGTAGAAGGAAAATTCTGAAGCAAAGGTGGATTTCTTCCTTTCTTGTTTAATTACTTCCTTTTCCTGTGAGCCATTAGGAGTACCAAATTTAGCACAGGTTGTCAGTTTTGGAAAAAATCAACAATCCCTTCTTATCTTAAATTTGTGTCTGAATACTTTATTTAATGGCTTAATTTGTGTTTAAAATGTCTTTTTATTTAAAAGATAAGATTGTGTTGCTTTGATAGGGATTGCAGTCTTGACTGCCTTTGCTTATTTTTTTTTTTCTTTTCATAGGTCATGGGAATAGAATTCGTGGTTATGTTTAGATCACTCATTCACTTATTTCTTTTTTTAGTATTTTAAAGCTCTTTTATGGTTTCCCATCCACTGTTTTTTTTGGCCGAGTTTTTTACTGAAAAAAACTAAAAGAAAAAGTTCCGCAGTAGCTAGGTGCCATATAAAACAGGATCCCACACCTATAACCTAAATGGCCAAAAATTATAAATACCTACCATTAAAAAGCTTATTTTTAAAGAAATTTGGAAAAGAAATATTTTATTACAATTTAAAATCTTAAAACGTGCGATATGTGTCAGAATGGGGTTTTACGTACAGGAAAAATAGTTATGGGACAGATGTAATACATAAAATGTTATCTGGACCTGGCAGCTTTATACTAGTTGAAAAAGTGTCATTTTGGTTTTCTTTTATATTTTAAGACAGGCTATAATTTTAAAGTGTGGAATTAGTTCCAACATTTGCCATTTAATTGATTATTTAGTTTCAAAAATTATTCCTTGCCCTGGGAAATGTAGATACTATTTATATTGCATTAAGGAATGAAGAATTATTCTTAAAAAATGAAGGTTTTTGGAGAACAAATTTTTTTTTGGTGAGGTTATCAGATATGTTAGGTGGGCACACTGATACAGTGCATGCAGAAGCAATTACAAAGAGTTGCTTTGTGCCATCATTTGTTTGCTGATGAGAAATTAGTTGTGTCTGGCCATAAGAAACTTTTCATACCTTATATCCACTTCCTTATGGATACATGTTGGGCTTACAGTTGAGGAGGCATACATACATTTTTCTGATATTTTTAATCAATGAATTTTCATAGTAGGGAACAGTGACAGGAAGATTCCAGGTTGCCAGTAGTGTTGTCAGTTTATAGTCTGGTATAATTTAATATCACATATTTAGTATTGTGGCACTGCAAAGCTATCAATAAAGTATCTCTTGAAAATAAGGAGTAATGAAGGCTTTGTGCTTCATGTATCTTTTCATATGGCACTCCTCAAATGACTTTTCATCAGCATGGAACGAATCAGAAATTCAATTGAATATTGCTTGCATGGAAGGTTTGCTTTGATGAGAGATGATTAAAAAAGCATTGAAAATACACTATTTGTTTTTTAAAACTCAAAATCTGTAAGACATGAAATATGAGGGATACATTTTATTACCTGTATTGTTTACAGGTATGCACACCATTAAAAAATAAACTAATTTTTCCTCCACTTCTTTCAAGAAAAATGTGCTTGTCTAAATAATTTACACTTTATTACATGAATAAGTCTTGATTCATCTTCTTGATTAGTAGATGGAGTATGTTTAATCTTGAGTGAGAAAAATGTAAGAATATCTTGAAAAAGGGCAAAATTTCTTTTGTGAGAGGAGGCTAAGGAAAACAAATGCTTGAATAAAATAATGATGTTTGCCTTTGCTGTAATAAAGTTTTTCTTCTTCTGAAAGAAAATTCAAAGTATATAAAAATGTTACACTGCACAGAGAACTGGATTTTGCTATATTTTTAAGGATAGACTTGTGATTAGTCTTTTCAAATATGCTGATTACAGTGCTGAGTAATTCAGGTTCACTTATTGTTAAGATTGTGGAGTTGCATTTATCAGAGTGCTGAAGTTTTCAAGATTTGGATGGTTTTAATACGTCGGTTATTCTGTTAATTCCACCCATTCAGTCCACTGAGGTAAGTTTACAGTTGCAATAATAGTGGATGATGAATCTGATCACAAGTCTATCAATTTATGATGCAAATTGTCTTTTTACACATACACACAAAAAGAAACACTGTAGAAATCTTAACTCCAATTCTATATTCATATAGAAGTGGAAAGCTTGCAACTCAGGTACTCAAAAGTTAAGAAATGCAAAAGAGGAGCGCTTGCAGTTTAACCCCTTAGTTGTTACACTTTTTATATGAACTCTATACCTAATGAAGGCAAAACCACAGTTTAAGCCCATTTCTGCTTAGCTGTACGAAATCAGAAAAGAACTGCTGATCAGTACAAATTATGTATATATTTTAGATGGCAGATCACAAAGAAGTAATGAGGGGCATTGAGCGGCACCCTGGGGTCCAGTATCCTGTTCTGACACCTAATCTTCACGGCTTTCATTCTGCTGTAAGTACCTTCATAGAAGGTATCCACAGTTACCTCTTTCATGTTTCAGACCATTTCAGTTCAGTATGATAAACTAGCTATTTAATGGCACATAACCTGTCCTGTTAGAACTAAGCTATAGTTCTTTTAGTTAAAATCTCTCAGTTTTCATTGTGAAAAATGGGCAAATTCACGAAGTGATGTTAAGGTCTATATATTGGTATTTCAATGGAACTGTTGGTCAAACAGTCTTTGCAATTTCCTATAAATGATGCTTGTGTGTAAAGAGAAAGACAGTTCTTCTGTTGGCCCTAGAAAAGTTTCTGAAGAGTTTCTTATTGGAAAATAGTGAAGAAGGATGAGGAAAGAGTCGATTAAATTAAATGAACTGTCTTTCACTTTCTATACTGCTTATGAGAACTCAGTTAAAACAGAATTCTGTACATAGGCAAGTTAACTATCAATAGTCAGATTTATAGTGCCACAACTTTGTCTGCAATGGTAGCTTGTATGAGTTGAATTAAATCTGCTGTATCTCTGTACTGCATTTAGTGATATAATGAAAGGAAAACAATGCAAAAATAGTTATAGGTGATTGCTGAGTTCTTTGCTGCTGCTATTTTTTTTTTCTTCTTTCTATTTGAAAATGTATTTGTTCCTGTAAGGGTTGCTGAAGCTTAGACATTATGCTGTAGAAGCAGAGAGTAAAGGGAAAAGCTCCATTTATTTCATAGAACAAGAGTATTATTCTCATTGGAGACTGAGAATTAATTATTTAGTTTTTCCCTTAAGCTTTATTATTTTCTTGTATTATTTGGCTTTCAGTATACTAGGTTGCTTCACGTTAGTTGATTTACTGAGTACTGAGCTCAAGCTAATTGCCCCTTCAGTGAAGTCACCACATTTACACATTTTCTAGACTGGTGTTTGCTCTGAGACAATTTCTCAGCGGACTCTCACATGCACATTATCCATATTATCCATATCGACTATGACACCAAGACCAATGGAGCCCTTGATCCTGGAGTTGGCTCTGACAAGGAAATCCCTGTTGGTTGTTGTTGCTGCTGAAGGCACAGGCAGGCACAGAGCTTCCCCGAGCACGAGAACGACTTCCTGGCCTTCATGAGGAACAGACTTTGTACAGGGGATGGATATTTCAGAGTTGTTACATGATCTTTTCCTTTTCTGAAAAATAAGTAAAAAAATAAGTATCAATCACTCTTGTTTTCTTAGTTGGTTCATACGTGTTACATGATCTTTTCCTTTTCTGAAAAATGAACATAAGTATCAATCACTGTTGTTTTCTTAGTTGGTTCATACAGTTTCCTACATCTTAATACCTTTATCATTTATCACTTTAAAAATATGTTTGCCTAATTGCTAAGAAGAGGAAGGAAATACGCCATAGTGAATGAACTCAACATTTGATTCAATCTCTTTGTATGCAAAAGATTTTAAAAAATAATGTGAATGACACTTATATTTTAGATACGGATGATGTAACATACTTTAAAATTCTAGAATATCACGTAGAAGTAAACGCTTAACTTAATCTCTTAATATAGTGTTATGATTCTGTTTTATTGAAATATATTTTTCAGATTGCAGCAGGGGCTACAGAAGTCTCAGTATTTGGTGCAGCATCTGAATCTTTTAGCAAAATGAATATTAATTGTTCAATTGAAGAAAGCATAGAAAAATTTGAAGATGTTGTTAAATCTGCAAGGAATATGAATATTCCAGTGCGTGGGTAAATATAAAGATTCTTATGTAATACACAGTTACTGAAATCACTGTTATAGGGTTTCTTTTGTACCAGTAGAAAAATATGCTACCATTTTTACATTTTAGATGAACTGAAATAATAGTCTTTATTGTGATTATTATTTTTTTTTTAAAGATTGAATATATTTAGTAATTTTGCTGTTTGCTCTGTAGCTACTAATGGTGACTAGTTTTCTCTGGAAATTGGAAAAAATAACCTGTGTGTATAAACGTACTCATTTTATTATACACGTTTATTTTTATTGTCACAGATGACAGAATAAAATTTATTTTGTCCTCCTGAGAACTCATAACACTGTTACCTGTGCCTTAAAAAATACCCTGCATACTTTAATTTTATTATAGTGTTGATAATATATTACTTCATACACTGTAGAATCATGATATAAAAATGATAGAACAAGTTTACTCCTAAGAAAAAAAATATTCTTCATGTAAGTTATTCTGAAAACTCCAGGCATTGAAGAGTTTGGAGTCTCTAGTGCATGAAACTCTGGATTTGGCCAGTGTTTATCTTTCTCTAGAGTACCTTCTTTTAAACTTGAAATAATCCTGAATGGTACTTGCCCTTGAGCGGTCTTTCTTTTTCATTTCCATTTTCTTTTGAGTTACACAGAGCTACTTATCAAAGATTATTTGTGAAGTCCTTGTGAATACAGAAAGGCATACACGGGTTCAAGAGAAACTCAACAGTGAGATTCCTTGAGGATTACTAGTAATGCAAAATACATCATGCTCAGAAAATACCTGGACTTGAAAATAAATAGAGGTAGATACCTCAGAGACTAAGTGCTTGAAAACCTGTGTGGGAATAAATACTAGGATCTGTCTTTCCTCCAGAAACAGTGATGAGGTAATGCTACTGCTCGCTTTTTGCCCAATAATGCGGTAGTTGGAGCATTTGTCTTGAGAAAGTGATATCTGATTTCTAGTTATACCTCAGCTTCAGAAGATCAGAGTATATCAGAATGGTTTAGGTTGAGAGGGACCTCTGGAGGTCACCTTGTCCAACCCAAGGATTTTAACACACGGACACACTTCCAACCAAAGATAGCTCATAAAACGCTTTGGTCCTTTTTCCTTAGACTGCTTATATGTTTCAGATGGCAAAACACTGAATAGAGAAGTTAGGACTTATAGAACACTAATTTATACCAGAGTTTAAATACACTGCCTCGCTGCTAATCTGTCAGGTAGAGTCAGGGTTTGCCTTCTTAGGCAACTTCTTTTATAAGAGGTCTATTGTGCTACTGTTTGCCACATTTTCTGAAACTAAATGCTGAGCTGATAACGTAACTAGTAATTTGGGTTTTCCAGGAGGATCAAGCTCAGGGATGTCTGAATTTTAGGGCCCAGATAAGGAAATAGGCAGTCAATTAAAAAAGATAGCACGTGTATAGCAACAAACCTTAGGCACTGGTGAACATTTTTACACTAAACTTTTGTTTCCTAGTTTTCTCTGGTGTCTAGGCATGTCAGGCAATATTTTCGGTTTCAAAGTCCTGTATTTCACTAAAAAAAATCAACGAGATGGTACAATAGAGGCAACCAAACATCAAGGGAATCCTCAAAGCCTATGCATTGTGTATGTTTTTCGATAATATGGGTATCAACAAATGGAACTTGCAACTGGTCCAGAAGATGTAAACTGCAGGTGATGAGGAACCCCCTGTGGTGTACTCTAGATTGATGTTGGAATTTAAAATGTTTACTTTTCTCTGCAACAGTTTTCACATGTTTTAGAGAGTGGCAACTTGGTGGGTTTTTTTTTTCCCCCAGACTGTATGTCCGAGGTATTTGTAATATGGCAGTAGCAGTTATTCTGGCACTAATACAGTGACGTGATGGAAATGACTGTTGCCATGATAGGATTCTATAACATTCCTATACATTTACTGTCTTCTATCTGATGAACTGTGTGTGGCAGGGTTTTTTCTGCACACAGTATTAAAAAAAAGAGAAAGCAACAGCATGGGAAGGCATGTACAGAGAAGAAGAGGTAAAAGGCTGAAAACGGTCAAACAGAAGCAGAGCACCAATAAAAAATTATAATAATGAAGAATAAAAGAAGGAAGAAAGGCAAGGACACACAAAGAGGATGAGATAATGAAGCAAACAGAAAAAACAGCTGTACAGAGATGAAGAGAAGTAGTTGAATTCAAAGAAAATACAATAAGATTATGGTTTTAAAAGTGCTTGCTTTGTGACTCCAGTGCAAAGATCTCTGATTTCACTTCACTATGCAAGCCTAGGCAAACTTCACATGCAGGACAATTTTATTGAGTCTGTCATGCCAGGTGCAGCATGTACACAACGCTTCAACAGTGGACTGCTTAATATCAGATAGGCTACAAGGAGAACAGATTCCAAGTCCTGAATGGAAATGATGTAAGTTTGCTCCAGCTAGATCTTTCTTCCTCAGTCTTACAGGTCTGAGAAAAGTGAATCTTCCAGAAGTAGGAAGCCATTGACAGAATCATTTGCTTTGTAGGATTATAACCGAGTAAAGAATCCAATTAGAGAGGGTATTGAAGATAAACTATGTTTATGTTTATACTACAACTATCTTCATCACAGGATATTAGCTTGGGAACTAATTTATCCAGTGAAAATTAGAGGTTGAGGCATCAGCAGATAAGATGCTGGACTAATGTTACACTTCAACAAATCAAAAATTTCAGGAGAGGACTGGCTGATATTTGTCCAGGGGGATCTAACATAACTCAATTAAGTAGCTAATCTGTTAAAAATCTGCTGAGAATCTCAATTGCAGAATATGGAGCCTTATTTCATAGCAAAAAGAAACCTACCTAAAGTCGCTATCTTCATCACAGGATATTAGCTTGGGAACTAATTTATCCAGTGAAAATTAGAGGCTGAAGCGTCAGCAGATAAGATGCTGGACTAATGTTACACTTCAACAAATCAAAAATTTCAGGAGAGGACTGGCTGATATTTGTCCAGGGGGATCTAACATAACTCAATTAAGTAGCTAATCTGTTAAAAATCTGCTGAGAATCTAAATTGCAGAATATGGAGCCTTATTTCATAACAAAAAGAAACCTACCTAAAGTAATAATTCTGAGTAGCTGAAACATCCACTGAACATGGATTTCAGTATATGAAAATAGTGAAAAGAAACTTTTGAGCATGTTAATGTTAGAAGATAAAAGAGAACTGGTTAAAGCGATCCAGTTGGAATTTGAGTGCAGTTTTAAAAAATCCCTCCAAGGGAGATTTTGAGGAGGCAAAATAGTAATTAATGAGAAATAAAATGCTGCTATGGACCAGAGTCCAGACAAATATGTTTTCAAGAGAATAATTACCAAGTGTTGTGATGCATCAGGTCTTGTTCCTGCGTGTTCATACTCAGATGCACTCCTCATTGGATTGCGGTTTCAGGAATCTATAGGAAGCACTGAGATGTAATGATTGCTCAGAAATAATTACAAAAAAGGACTTGTTTAGTGTCCGTCTATCATGGTACTTTTAAGCTCCAGTATAATGTCTTCTGTTGAGTAGCATTCCAAAGACCAGAAAAGTAATAGCAGCAGCACAAACACAGACATGCAGAAATCAGAAGGACTTTTTTTTAATGGTGGATCTCTAAAACAAAGCTCTAGAAGGTGGACTTAAAATTTCTAATTAGTTAAAAAATTAAATAATGCTGATAAGGAATAAACATCAGTTTTGAATGCCAAATCCAGGAAGTAAATAAATCTGTTTACAACGTTTCAGCTGCTTGTGAGGGGGAAGATTATGGAAGCACACCATAATTTCCAACTTAATTCTAGAAGACTAAATCATAATTTTCTCTGCTACTAACATCCAACAAAAGCCTGCCCTACTGCAGGGAATTCATTAGGAAGTTATTGAGTGGAAGTTGTTCATTAGTTCCCAAATATTGCAGTACCTATAGAAGACTTGTGGAATTTTACATTGTATTTAATGATATAAAACACAGGGCTTCTCTTCCTTGATGAAAAAGAGTGTGGAAAAGATAATCAGAAAGTAAAACTTAAACAGAGATTTCATATGAATATTCAGTGTAACCAAGATGACTTTTTTCTGGAGATCAATAAAAAATAATGAGCGATCAGAGCCTGCGATTTATGATCTTGATTTACGATCCCATATTTAACTGCTACTAAAGAAGCTGCTTTTAGACAGATAAAATAAATGGCATTTTTGTATCCCAATTCCATGCAAAATTCTCTAAATGCCGAGACAGTCAAGGCTTTGTGGCAAATTGATCTTTATGCGATGTTCTTTATGCTTTATATCTGGACCTGTATTTTAAGTATCACATAGACAAGCGGGGGCTGAAACTGACAGTTTCAGAAACTGAAATTTGGGAGTTCTGTTGAATGACTTTAAGCCCAGCAGTTAGGAAACAAAAGGATGGGATGTTTTATAATTCATCAGTTGATGTATATGGAATTGGTGCTCATAGTTTGACTGGGTTTTATTTAATTTCAAGGAGAAGATTTTTTTCAGGTTTTATTTTGCCGTGTGTCTTGTAGTTATTGAAAATAATTACATATTGTTTACAACTATTGTTAACATGAGGCAAAGCTGAGTGTGACCTCATGACAAGTCTGAGCTTATCATCCTAAATCTGCTTGTAGTTAGTAGAGGGAAACAGGCAGCCTTCAGGCTGTGATTTATCATACGTGCTTTCTGAAGTGCCTGCCTTAGGATAAGATGGATCACTCTCAGGGTGATCCATCCTCTTGGCTGCAAAGGAGCTTGGGTTCTATCCTAGTCATCCTATAGATGGTCTGTCTAAGGCATAGGGTGTAGATGATTATCTTTGAATTCAGAACTTAGAACAGATGAATCCCATCCTACCTGTGTACAGGCTGAGGATTAGCACCTTGTCATTTATGTAAATTACAATAGATACAATAAATGTCTTAATGGGCTTTGTGGTGCAAGGTGACACAAAACGAGCCTGTCAACTGC